ACTCCACCTCCCCAAAGCTGGGGTGACAAGAACAAGCCACCTCACCCAGCTTCTTATCTGATGGAGGGACTCAGAGCCTCATGGTTGTGCAGCAAGCGCTTGACTACCCACTCCATTTTTATAGATGAGGAGACTGAGCTGGCCAGTGGGAGCTGACAGTCTGAGCCAGTTAGTCTGATTCCAGGGCCTGTTGCCCCTTCAGCCCCTCTCTACACCTCTGGAACCTAGGGTAGAAAAGGAGGGGACCACTCCACGACTTTCTCTCTACCCAGGGCCCAGCATCCTCCAGGTGACCATATGTAGTGAACTGAACAATGGGATGCAGAGTTCTTCTGGAACAATCTTTTCCTACCCACAATTCTTTGCATAGCATATCCAATTCTCTCCAAACCCAGTATTTGCCCTTCCTCAGCCCCATATTTCCTTTGAGTGTAAATATAGAGCTCTCCTTATTTGCCTAACTTTCAGAATTGTCACCCCTGGTCCACAGCCATCTGGGATATATTCCTTTCTGTACAAAAAAGCCTTTGTCTTCATATGAAAATGATCAGGTTCTGCCCATAAATTTATCCAGCCTAAAAGTTGGTGGAGTGAGAACGCCTCATGGAAAAAGAGAGCAGTATATTTCTTTGCATTTGAATACTTCCAGGACGTTACTTTGGCAGCAAACCAGCTCTGGGTTGGACCCCAGAATTCTTACTCTTATGGTGCCATGGGCCTCTGGGAGATCTGCAGGGCCTTATGTGCCTCTTAGATATTTTTTTAATGCACAAAATTGGACCTAGAGTAACGGGGGGGGGGGGGGGGTAGGGGGGACTAGATTATGTGGAAATAGGGTCACAGTAGAATATTGGTGTAGTACTAGCACTGTTTTTTTTTTTTTTTGTTTTTGTTTTTTTTTGCTTTTTCGAGACAGGGTTTCTCTGTGTAGCTTTGCGCCTTTCCTGGAACTCACTTGGTAGCCCAGGCTGGCCTCAAACTCACAGAGATCTGCCTGGCTCTGCCTCCCGAGTGCTGGGATTAAAGGCATGTGCCACTACCGCCCGGCTAGCACTGTGTTTTTTTTTTTTTTTTTTTTTTTGGTTTTTCGAGACAGGGTTTCTCTGTGTAGCTTTGCGCCTTTCCTGGTACTCGCTTTGGAGACCAGGCTGGCCTCGAACTCACAGAGATCCACCTGGCTCTGCCTCCCGAGTGCTGGGATTAAAGGCGTGCGCCACCACCACCCGGCAGCACTGTATTTTTACATTGTGCTAAAAAGGGTTGGTTTTTTATAATCCTGATACGATGAGAAAAATGTCTGTCCCCACGTCTGCAGCTGCCATCATGAGATAGGAAAATATCTGTGGCTTCTGTTGCTGACGACAGGGCAGGTGCTGCTAATGTTAATGGGGTTTGTTGCCTGTGTTCACCAGGAAGGAGATAGTGAATTTCAATGAAAAGTTAGGGCAAATAAAGACAGAATCTCCTTCCTCCCCTACTTTATGTTTTAGAGAATTCTAGTCCTTGCCAACTTGGGCCTGGGACTACAGATCCCCTCGATCTCCCTGGCTGGTCTGTGATGGGGAGACCAAAGAGCCCGCTCAGACATGATGACTTGTTCCTAGTGGCTCCTTTGACACTCTTGTCACGGCTGGAAAGTAATAATTTACAGAATCAGTGTTCTGGGTAGCTAGCTCTCCAGAACACTTGCTATGCAGCCATGTGCCTGTCCCGGTGCTGAGAGCTGCTCCTGAGAGGCTTATAAGCACTGTCACCCTTTGTACAAAGGAGGAAGACGAGGCTGGGAGGCGAAGAAAGGGCCCCCAGGTTCAGGTCGCAGGTCGCTTCATGCCCCTGCCTTCCCACTAAACCAAATGCAACCCACACATGTCCAAAACACATATTTCAAAAGATTTTATTTCAAAGCCAGGCACAGTGGTGTACTCCATTAATCCCAGCACTGGGAAAGCAGAGGCAGGTAGATTTCTGTGAGTGTGAGGCCAACCTGCTCTATATAGTGAGTTCTAGGCTAACCAGAACTACATAGAGACACCCTGTATTAAAAAAAAAGTTTTTATTCCATATTTAATTATGTGGGGGGCGGGTATGTGCACATGAGTACAGGGACCTAAACAAGCCAGAGGAGGATGCTCTGAATCCCTTGAAGTGGGAGTTACAGGCCGTTGTGAGCTGTTTGTTGTGGGTGCTGGGTGAGAAACTTAGGTCCCTCAGCAAGGGCTGGTCTGACTCTAACCACTGAACCATCTTTCCAGTCCCTTGTTTGTTTTTTGAGGCAAGATCTTGCTATATGACTCAGGCTGGTCTCATACTGGTGTCTTGCTCTGGAGCCTATGCTGGCCTCAATTTTGTAATTCTCCTGCTTCTGCCTGCCTAGTGCTGGGATTACAGGTGTGCACTGCTACGCCCCTCCCTTAACACATTTTATTTTAGACTTGAAATGACTTATAATGAAGTCGTAGTAATAATAACAGTCTAGGGCTGGAGAAATGGCTCAGCGGTTAACAGCACTGACTGCTCTTCCAGAGGACCTGGGTTCAATTCCCAGCACCCACCTAGCAGCTCAGGTAACTCCAAGATCTGTCTGTAACTCCAAGATCTGACACCCTCACACAGATAAGCATGCAGGCAAAACACCAATACACATAAAATAAAATAAAAAAATAAAAAATAATTTTTTTTCCCGGAGCTGAGGACTGAACCCAGGGCCTTGTGCTTGCTAGGCAAGCACTCTACCATTGAGCTAAATCCCCAACCCCAATAAAAAATAAATTATTAAAAAAAATACTATACCCAACAGGGGCAGACTATTCCATATTTAAGAATCTTTACATCATCACCACCATTGGCAGTATTATCATCAAAGCAATGGGTAATCCTAATTGCTTATTTTACTCCAAAGTCTGTTCAAAGGAGTTAACTCAGTTGACCTTCCAAATGACAGGCTGCTATGGTTTGGATGTGGCTTGTCCCCTAAGTGGTTATGTGTTGGAAGCTTGAACTTCAGAGTGTCCATGTTGGGAGGTGGTGGAACCCTGAAGGAGGCTTAGAAGATAGGTCATTGGGAAGCATTGTCCTGGGAAAGGATTAATTAATTCAGTTTTCATGGAACTCTAGAGAAGTCTAAACAGAGTGGGTTATTATAAAAGAGCTAATCTGATTCTGTCTAGCTATGTGATTGCTCCTTCTCAATTATGTCCCCATGATGGCATCCACCACCCTGTTATATAGCTAAGGTTGTCAGTGCCTGAGCCCAAATAGGTAGAACTACCCAATCTTGGCCTTCTAGCCTCCAAAACCATGTGTTAAATAAATCTCTTTTCAATACAAAGTACACAGCCTCAAGTGTTTCACTGTAGCAACAGAAAATGAGCTAATACACTTGTCACCTTATTATCCTCGTTTCCAAGAGGAAGACACTGACATTAGAAAAGTTGTAACATTTCATTGAGGGCCACACGGCTATCAGGCCAATCTGAACCATGGAAATGTGGCTGTGCTGTCTTCTCCTTTTTCAGTAAATGGTTTCTATTGAAGTAGAACATGGGCTTATCAAATGCCCCATGAATTTTCATAGTGCGCATACCACCCAGATCAGAAAGTGGAAACATACCAGCACTTGCCGGCTCCTGGCCTTCCTGGAAGTCATTAAACTCGCCTCCCACGACACCATAGCCTCTGCTCTTAATTTCTAGCATCATTGATTAGTTCTGTTGTGTTTTGAATTTATGTAAATGATCTTTCATTCTTTACCATTTTGTTCCTACTCATCATAATGACCTCATCATAGCAACCTTTTATGTCCACTGCATGAGCAAACTGTGATATTGCCAATGGCTCAGCAACCCTCTGATCCTCCATGCCACTATGTGGGAGGAGGAAGATTCTATCCCGTGTTTTGGGGGGCTGATTGCTTCCGCTGATTCAGTGTCCTCCAGCCTCAGTTTCTGCTGCAGAATGCTGACACTGGAGATGGGGAATGTTTGTGTGAGCAAAGTGTTCTACTGCCCTAAGCTAATCCCAAACATCCTGTCTCTGCCCTTACTTCCCCCATGGTTGGCAACAGGCTCTCTTCCCCCAGGTGCTTGGCTTCCTCCTTCCAACACCCACTGTTGCTCTTAGGTAAGACTGACTCCAATCCATGACATGCAGCCCACGTGCTCTGTCTTCCTCTCCCTGCCTCCTGCAGGCTGAGAACACCCGGCACATACATGTGCAAACATTTACTGTCCGTCCACCTCTGTCAGTAAAAAGTGCTTCTCCAGGATTGGGGAGGTGGTTCACTCAGCAGGTAGGAGTACTGGCTTCATAAGCACCGAGACCTGAATGTGGATCCCTGGCACCCACATAAAAGCTGAGCATACTGAGAGGCAGAGAAAGGTGGATCCCAGGGACTACTCCAAACAGGAACTCCAGGTTCAGTGAGAGCCCCTGTCTCAAAGCACAGCGTGGAGAATGATAGAGGAAAGCATTCAATACCAACCTCTAACTTCCACAAACACATGCATGGGTACATGACTGCATGCACATGTGTGTGTGTGGGGGGGGGGGATTCACAAAATGTTTTCCCAGCTGATGTGGCCTTATTCCCAGATCTATATGGTGCACAGTAGGTACTTGATACAACCTCCATTGGAAGGAAAAATTAATCAGCGTGGAATTTCCCCACCAAAACACTAAAAGCCTCTGCCAGGGCAAGATACATCTAATTTAAATCCAGGACTTTGCTAACAGGGGCAGTGTTGTGACTGAAGCTAATGTCTACTCCTCAGCTGAGGCAGACTGGAGGTTGGAAGAAATGAGGCCAAAGTTAGCAGTTCGTTTGCTGGCCCAGAGATCACGGAAAGCCTGATCTCTCACCAGGCTGCTATGGTAGCCTCCTGCTAGTGACTCTAGCCAGCCCAAATGTCTGGTCCTGAAGCTTCCCAGAAGAGAACCATCTGCCAGTCCAGAGGTAATAGGACTCCTGTGTGCTTCAGGCGTCGGTGAGGGTGTGGGTTCAGGCAAATGAGCCGCATCCCACACAGATATAAAGGACTGCAGCCATCATCAGGACTTATTGCCCATCAGTATTCACCAGGATGGAGGGCGGCCCAGAGCAGCTGCATCTGGCCAAGGCACTAGGGGAGGCTGGGGATGGGAGGGACTTGACTGAAATCCAGGAGCTGGCCCTGAAGTGGTTCATGGAGACACAGGCCCCCTCTATCCTGCAAAATGGAGCTCTGCCCCCCTGGTTTCATGGATTCATCACTCGCAAGTAAGGCTGCCCCTGACAACATGGCCAGCATGGCCCACAGTTCCTCAGGGCTGAGAATATCGCCCAAGGATTCTGGAACTCTGGGCTCCTGAAATTTCCTCACTAGGCAGGACACTGGGGGTCAAGGGGGACAGATTGAGGAAGCTTCTGAAGGCAGGTCTGAAGGGCATTTCTCTAGTGAAGTCTTTGTAGCTATGGGAAGGACAGAAAGTAGACCATGTGGGGGCTGGGCATGTTTAGATGAGTTCTGAGTATCTTGGCGAAAGTTAAAAGACTGTGCCATATATCAGCACTGAAATGCTATTGTAACTAAGCTAGAGAACTGACCAGGAAACCTAGACACATGGTTATCCTGGCATAGGGACCAGAATGTGGGATTTGGTAATCTGTGCTTGGGAATATTTGTGTGCACAGATCACACCTGAGAGGCCTCAGAGCCTCAGAGGTCTAAGAAGGTTCTCTAGATCCTGAGGCAGGTCTAATTCAGGCTGCTTGGCTATTGTGAGAGTACAGGCTCCAGTTAATGGCATGTCCTCTGTCCAGGCAGACAGAGCAGCTACTCAGGGACAAAGCTCTTGGTTCCTTCCTCATCCGCCTCAGTGACCGGGCTGTCGGCTACATCCTGTCTTATAGGTAAGTGGGAGGCCCGCTATGAAGGGGCAAGCAGACTCCAGACTCCATACCCCAGAGCCTGCTGACAAAATGGAGTCCCAGAAGCCCACTGTCTGGTTCTCCCTGGGCCCTGACTCCATGATTCATCCAACCCGTGCTTGGCCAACCCTTTCAGAGCAGCAGCACTGACCATCGCCAAGGATGGTGCTGCAGCCTTCAAAGGGACAAGGAGAGCCAGATAAAACACCTTCCTGGTGAGCACCGATGAACGCTGAGCCCAGCAAAGGAGGAACGGCTATCTGCTAGTGGGAAGAGGGCACAGCTGGGTATAAGGAAGTCTTCTAGCAGATGGACTGGCATGAGCGGAAGTGTAGGATTTTGGGAGCCCCAGATCCCTGGGTGCAGCAGGATACAGGGTATGTGGGAACAGGATAGCCTTGGATGAGAATTCTGACACAAAGAAGCGGTCCAGGCAGACTGCCACTTCACCAGGGCCCTCCTTACAGCATAAGGAGGGAGAACTGGAGATAGTCTAGAGATGGGAAGACTGTGGGGACCCACGCCACCAGCTGAACATGAAGATCTTGGGTCTTAGTCTAAAGGTGAGAAGGCTATGGGGACCCACGCCACCAAATGAATATGAAGATCTTGGGTCTTACTAATGTAAGGCTATGAGACCAAAGAGGAGGAGACATGGGCCTAGTCCAAAGTCAGAGGTGATGACTATGAACCCTGGCCTGAACGGAGGCCGAGTTGGGGAGGTCAAAGGCTCCCTCTGGAGACCTGGAAGGAGGCCAGGGCTGCAGGGCAAACTTCCAAGTCCTCAGATTCTGAGTCAAATTATGTGCACAGACTCTCCTTGTTCAGATCCTAACCCGGAGAAAGCTTCTCTGCCATCTCATAGGTAAAGCAGGAAGATTATAGTTACTGTCACAGGACTGTTGGAAATGCTCAGTAAGATGATGCATTTGAAAGTGCCTGGCACAGGCTGCACAAACCTTGGAAGAGCTAAACAAATGTTAACCACTGATCAATACTCATTTCCCCCCATGCACTATTTTGGGTACTTGGAAATATAATAAGTAAGCTTTTTCAGATCTCTTTTCAGTTTGGATCTACTTTTATTATGTATTTCTTTGAGTTTCTCTCTCCCTCATGAGACCTTAGGCAGAGGGCCACCTCACAAAAGACAGCAAGAAGAGGTGCTCAGAGAAATATAAACAGTCAAAAGGAGCAGCAGAGTCCAGAGATGAGCCAGCATGGTGACTCCCTGATTCACACCAGGAGTGTCACGGCCATCCCTGGTTTTCCTACCGTTGGCACAAGGCATGTTGATATCCAAATGGGGGAAAAAGTGGTCACTATCTCACACAAGGTACAAAAACTAATAACTATACATGGATCATAGATCCAAGATAGAAAACAATAACCTTTCTTAAAGGAAACAAGCAAACACTTCAATAAACTAACCAACTGCCCATGAAAATGGGATAAACAAAAATTTCTTAGACACAAAAAGCTCTCACTATAAAAGACCAATAAATTTGGATGTGAAGGCAATCTGGCTGTGACATCTGTCACCCCACAGGATGGATTCAGCTGATCTGGGTGGTTAGACGGAGTGTCTCCTTCCTCCTTCAGCATAACATGTTCATCCTTCCTGAAGCATGCTTGGTTGAGGAGAACGACCTTCCCAGAGCAGAAGACTGATAACTTTGATTTCCTTTGTGTGTGTGTGTGTGTGTGTGTGTGTGTGTGTGTGTGTGTGAAATACGTATATACGTGTGTCTTTTGATCAGTCTTGCTCCTGCTAATCTTTGGCACATTCTCAGTAGAAATGAGCACATGCGTTCACCAAAAGATATGCACAACATCTATATTTACAACAATCTCAATAATGAAATAGCCTAAATACCCAATAGACTATGAGTTTTCTATCAGATGAGACACTCCACATAACTTTTGAAAGGAAGAAGCTAAATCTACTTGGACCTCAGTGAATCTGAAAAACACGTTGAGAGAAGGAAGTGAGATACAAATGAGGACTTTTGCATAATTTCCATTTATTGGAAATTCCATAAAGGAAGAAATGTACCTATGGCAATAGGGTCAGAAAGAGGCCACCTGTGGGGCATTGGCAGGGAGGGGCTAGGCGAGGTTTTATATCCTGATCTGCATGTGGTTACAGGGGCATTTTTATGTAGAAATTCACCTTGCTGCACACCCGTGTGTGCTCAGGGTTTAAATCATTCTTCCATTAAAACAAGGAAAATGAAGAGGGTGAGGCTTTATAGGAGGGGAGGTCCAGTTGTTCCAGAGGATGGGGCCAGGTGAAGCTGAATGGTAAGGTGCAGGGTTGGCTCTTGTCTTTACTGGCAGCTTCGATATTTTCTTCCTCATTGTTTTTATGTTTATGGGTTGTTTTGTTTTGTTTTGTTTTGTTTTTCATTCATTTTGAGCTTCTAAAATACTGTACTAGCCAAGCATAGTAGCTCATACCTATTGTCCCAGCACTGGGGAGGCTGGGGCAGGAGGATCCGCCTGAGTTTGAGGCCAGCCTGGACTACACAGCTGTAGGCCAGCTTGGGCTATAAAGTGAGATCTTCTCTCAAAAATAAATGAGTGAATAATTAAAGGATTTAAAGTTAAGATAGATAAGTAAATAGGTCTGGGAGCACTGTTTACTCTTACAGTACTTGCACAGCCTGTGTGAGGCCCTAGGTTTGACCCCCAGTACCACAAAAAAAAAAAAAGAGAGAGAGAGAGATAAATTATTGCATTAGTAAATCTGATGAGCAAGATTTGGGGTGCCCTTGTTTTGGGCTCAATGAGTGTCTCAATCACTCTAGTCCCAGCCCTGCCCTCCCCAAGAACAAGCTCAGGTTCTTCCCAAGGCCCCAGACATTTGAAACAGCTCCCCCTCCACCACCCCTCCATACACACCCCACCCCTACCCCCTCACCCCTCCACCCACCCCATCCACCCCACCCCCACCCCCTGCCCCAGTTCCCTGAGGAACACCATAGATGCACATGGAGAGGGCAGCCCTTGGTCAGATGAGTCTGTACTGGATGGAAATCCTCAGGGCAGAGCTGGCCCACTTGCAGCCAGCAACCCAACTAGCCCATGTGTAATTGTGTTACAGGGGTAGTGACCGCTGCCGCCATTTTGTCATCAACCAGCTCCGAAATCGACGTTACCTTGTCTCAGGAGACACCCTCAGTCACAGCACCCTGGAAGAGCTCCTACGCCATTACCAGGAAGTGCAGCTTGAGCCTTTTGGGGAGACCCTTGCTGCTGCTTGCCCACGGGTAGGCACCTTCTTCCCAGGGTGAGGGAGGTAGGATGGGGTGTCTGGGCTTGGGGTGGCAATTACCCAGGAACATCCTATCAAGGGAACTCAGAGGAGTCATGGCCTTCATTCAAAAGAGTACCTTAGTCAAGGTCAAGAACCTAGTGGGATGTTTCCATCCCTTTCCTACTGTCCTGAGGACAGTTGGAGGCTGCCAGTGTATGACCATAAGCCTGTTATATCCTCACTGCCTCCAGCTAGAGGAAAATGACCTGTATGACGCTGTCAACACGGGCCTCCAGCAAACTAATCTAGGCCTGGAAAATCCAGCTGCCATGGAATTTCCCACCGTGGTTCCTGACAAGGCCACCAGCCCTCGCCTTCCTGCAAAGCCCCAGGTCTCCTTCCTGCACACCAAGAAAGGCCTGGATGTGAGTCCCTGGACTGTCTCAAAAGAAGAAAGTGCAGAGGTGAGGTGGATTCTGTGCTATACAGGCTGATGGCTACAAGCCCGGGATGTGGGGGTCCTACCACAGTCAGGTTCTTAGAAACCACCAGAGCAGTATCTTCAGGCATAGAGGGTGAGCATCAGGCCCACCGTATTAAGAAGCACAACCAGGTGTCAGTCCCTGGTGATCTGCCAACACTATGGCCTGCCCTGGTCAGCTGGATGGATTTCAAACCTAGATAAGACTCTTCCATTTTCTCACTGTAAGGCTTTGTATGAGGCATGAACTCTCTGAATCTACTTACCATTCTTGACATTCTTGGGAGGTCTCAATGAGAACAGTTATGAGATATCTGAAAATCACTTAGCAAACTATAAAGTGGGATGTCTGTATGATGGGATAGGCTCAGAGAATGTCCTTGATACATAGAGCACAGCATGCCAAGGACTTGTTTTTGTTGTTGCCTTTTTGTTTTGTTTTGTTTTGTTTGTTTTTCAAGACAGAATTTCTCTGTGTAGCTTTGGCTGTCCTGGAACTCACTCTGTAGACCAGACTGGCCTTGAACTCACAGATCCACCTCCCTCTGTCTCCCGAGTGCTGGGATTAAAGACATATGACACCACATGCCAAGGACTTCTTATGCTCAGAATAAAATCTAAAATCCTCAGAATCTACAAGAGCATCTCCAGTATCCAGAATCTCCCTCCCTTCCTCACCATGGCCCCACTGGCCTTCTAGATCTTTCTTAAACCCACAAACCTTTGAACTCACTATATATCTTGCCTGTGTCTCTTCTTACCAGAGAGTGACCGCACTCATACTCATACTGCATTCTGTCTCTCCTCAAAAAAAGGCCACCTGAGCTACAGGACATGTCACCTTTCCCACCTGAGCTACAGAACATGCCACCTTTCCCACCTGACCTACCTACAGAACATGTCACCTTTCCCACCTGAGCTACAGAATATGTCACCTTTCCCACCTACCTACCTACAGGACTGTCACTTTTCCCACCTGAGCTACAGAACATGCCACCTTTCCCACATGACCTACAGAACATGCCACCTTTCCCACCTGACCTACCTACAGGACATGTCACCTTTCCCACCTGACCTACCTACAGGACATGCCACCTTTCCCACCTGACCTACCTACAGGACATGCCACCTTTCCCACCTGACCTACCTACAGGACATGCCACCTTTCCCACCTGACCTACCTACAGGACATGCCACCTTTCCCACCTGACCTACCTACAGGACATGCCACCTTTCCCACCTGACCTACCTACAGGACATGTCACCTTTCCCACCTGACCTACCTACAGGACATGTCACCTTTCCCACCTGACCTACCTACAGGACATGCCACCTTTCCCACCTGACCTACCTACAGGACATGCCACCTTTCCCACCTGACCTACCTACAGGACATGCCACCTTTCCCACCTGACCTACCTACAGGACATGTCACCTTTCCCACCTGACCTACCTACAGGACATGCCACCTTTCCCACCTGACCTACCTACAGGACATGCCACCTTTCCCACCTGACCTACCTACAGGACATGCCACCTTTCCCACCTGACCTACCTACAGGACATGCCACCTTTCCCACCTGACCTACCTACAGGACATGTCACCTTTCCCACCTGACCTACCTACAGGACATGCCACCTTTCCCACCTGACCTACCTACAGGACATGCCACCTTTCCCACCTGACCTACCTACAGGACATGCCACCTTTCCCACCTGACCTACCTACAGGACATGCCACCTTTCCCACCTGACCTACCTACAGGACATGCCACCTTTCCCACCTGACCTACCTACAGGACATGCCACCTTTCCCACCTGACCTACCTACAGGACATGCCACCTTTCCCACCTGACCTACCTACAGGACATGCCACCTTTCCCACCTGACCTACCTACAGGACATGCCACCTTTCCCACCTGACCTACCTACAGGACATGCCACCTTTCCCACCTGACCTACCTACAGGACATGTCACCTTTCCCACCTGACCTACCTACAGGACATGCCACCTTTCCCACCTGACCTACCTACAGGACATGCCACCTTTCCCACCTGACCTACCTACAGGACATGCCACCTTTCCCACCTGACCTACCTACAGGACATGCCACCTTTCCCACCTGACCTACCTACAGGACATGCCACCTTTCCCACCTGACCTACCTACAGGACATGCCACCTTTCCCACCTGACCTACCTACAGGACATGCCACCTTTCCCACCTGACCTACCTACAGGACATGCCACCTTTCCCACCTGACCTACCTACAGGACATGCCACCTTTCCCACCTGACCTACCTACAGGACATGCCACCTTTCCCACCTGACCTACCTACAGGACATGCCACCTTTCCCACCTGACCTACCTACAGGACATGCCACCTTTCACACCTGACCTACCTACAGGACATGCCACCTTTCCCACCTGACCTACCTACAGGACATGTCACCTTTCCCACCTGACCTACCTACAGGACATGTCACCTTTCCCACCTGACCTACCTACAGGACATGCCACCTTTCCCACCTGACCTACCTACAGGACATGCCACCTTTCCCACCTGACCTACCTACAGGACATGTCACCTTTCCCACCTGTTATTTTCTCTACTCTATTACTGCTTTGCTCTCCACAGCACTGATCATGAGGTGACATGACATTACCTATGACACAGTCCTATATCATGTATCATATACTATATCAAGTCCTTGTACACTCTGTAGCTCAGCCCCATGGTGCTTGTTTCCAGATTAGAATGTAAACTCAAACTGGCCTCAGGACTTAAGACTACCTATCATAGCTGGGCCGTGGTGGCACATGCCTTTGATCCCAGCACTCAGGAGGCAGAGGCAGGTAGTATATCTCTGTGAGTTCGAGGCCAGCCTGGTCTACAGAGTGAGTTCCAGGACAGTCAGGGCTGTTATACAGAGAAGCTCTGTCTTGAAAAACTAAAAAAAAAAAAAAAAAAAAAAGGACTGCCTGTCATACAGTTGGTACTCAGCAAATATTTGTTGAAAGGGTCCGTGAGTGATGGGCTTGGAATAAAGCTACTCTGAAAGGGTATATAGCAGTGCGTGGGTGGGCTTGTGGGGCCCTGGGGGAACAAATGGACCATACTGGAGGCAGGAGGACCAGACAGGATGAGTTTGCGTTGGCTGTTGAGCTGGTTACCTTGGATGCCAAGGTAAAGATTGTACTTAGAATCCTAGAGCCAGGAAACACGAACGTCATGAACCAGCTCCTGCATATGATAGGCAAACTGAAGCAAAAGAGGGAAGGAGGTTTGTAAAGACAGCTCAGGGGGTGTGAGGTCACAGCAACAACAGGGTGCCTTTTAAAACATTCTCTGTCCCTCTCTCCCAGGCACCCACTAGAGCGCCCCCCATTCCCCAGAGGAGTCCCTCTCTTCTGGATGAGCCTTCTGCAGGCCCCAGTGATATCATTTACGCAGACCTGAAGAAGACAAACCGCGCACAGCAAGGCCTGGGCACAGAGGTGTCCGGCAGACACAGGCCAGCTCCAGCTGGCAGCCTGGCTTGTTCCCCAGGCAGGAAGCCCTCAAGGAATCTCTCAGATGAAGACCAGAACAATTTCAATAGCCCAGAGCCTGCCCCGTCTTGGGTGAAGACAGACCAGTGTGCTACAATACCTTACAGTTCCTTAGGATTGCCCCTGCCCCCCAATTCTGAGGCCCTGGGACCACGGGCTACTATTTGGAAGCAGGGGTTTCGAAAGCTGAGCCACGATGAGGCTCAATCCTCCTCTGAGGCCAGCTCTACGGATACCTACCAGCTTGTTGGAACAGCAGGCCTACGACAGGAGAGTAGGGATAGACCAGACCAAGGAGGCAGCCCTTATGAGCAGATTCCAACCTGCTGGCAAAGCACTACTAAGTTCCCATACCCTGGAACCAGTCCCACCTACAGCCAACTATCAGGGCCCATGAACTATGGCTATGAGAAGATCTCAGGGACCTCTCAGCTCCCAGAGCCAGGGAACACCTATGAGCAAATCCCAGCCTCCAAGAACAAGGACACTGGACGGGTGCACAAGGTGAGTTCCCTGAGGGGGTGGGTGGTCAGGTCCTTACAAAACACCTGGTGAGCCAGACATGGAGGCACACGTCTTTAATTCCAGCACTAGAGTAGCAGACGCAGGAGGGGTTTTGTGAGTTTGAGTCCAGCCTGGCTTACACAGTGAACTCTAGGACAGCCAGGACTATGTAGAGAGAACCTGTGTGGGGTCAAGCATGAGCAGGTCACTGCTGGTGCTCAGCAGGGCCCAGAACTTTTCCACCTGGTCATGTAAGGGTGGGAGAAGCAGCTGCTAGATCATGGGGTAAAATGGGGGCTTCTAGCCCACCTAAGAGCTTCCTCTATGGTAGAGCACTGCCGGGGTTTCTCACAACCCACAGCAGGGCTGTCAGAACCACTGGGAGGCAGAAAGGAGGCCCTTGGCGGTAGTCATGAATAAGCAGCTCTCTAGCCTGTGGCTTTGGCCATGACAATTTCCCTGATGATTAGGTAGGGCTGCCAAATTCACCAAGATAAAAATACAAGGCATCTAGTTAAATTTGAATTGCACAGAAACCAGTAGTTTTGCTATGTCTCAAAAAATCATAACCGTTTATTTACCTAGAACTCAGATTTAACTGGGCAGCATGTATTTTTACTTGGCAACGCTACCCAAGCTCTCTTTTCCTTGTCTGTAAAATGGGCTGACCATCTGGTTATGCCCAGGGCAGCTGCCCAAGGAACAATGTCCCACATCCTTTCCTGGCAAGACACCGTCAGAGGTGGCTCTTAGTGAGTAGGGAGACTCTGTCTGAGGATTCATGATAGAGAGGAGGAGAGCATGGGGGATGGGTGGTTAGAACACCAGAGGGAGGTGGCTGCTCCTGGGTGCCAGGGAGGCAGATGAGCCCACCCACCCCCTCCCCAATTCCTCAGCTGCCTATACTGGTGAACAATAGGAATGGAAAGGTCCTTCTTTCCTGTGGACACAGCCTCAAGTCCAGGGAAAGCTGAAACTTCCCTCTCCTGGCCTGAACTGGGACATCCTGAGCTTCAAAGCGAAAGGCCTCTAGGGAACCAGCTCCTCCCTCAGGGCAGGGCTGTGACCTCCTGCTCTAGCTCTTATCCCCAACATTTTCTGAGGTGTTGATCCCCTCAGACTTAGTCAGTGGACTGTCCTTTAAGGACCTCAGAAGCCATGTCTGCCCTTCCCCCTAGATGTTCCCATGTCCTCTTCTAACCCTGGCAGTCCGGTATATAACCCCTCCTCTCCTCCATCCTGTCCCACCAGGGCATAGCAAGGCCCCAGCTGGCAGGATGGAGCAGGAAGACCAGGACATACCCTGGAGGGAAGACGATGCCCTGCAGTAATTTCCACCTCTTTTTACAGTCCTCCTTCCCACCACCCTTCCTCAGTCAGACACAGGCAAAGCCTCATCTTAAATGTGAAGGCTGAATGTGGGGTTTGGGGCCCCAGAGAAGCTGGTGGGAGCCATATCAGCATTGTATCCTGGCATCGTTTTTCCAGCTTGGGCCTCACCCCAGACCTGAGCTAAGAGCTTCTAAGCCTGGGCCTTCCCCTCTCTGCTGGGGAGCCCAGGCCCCAACCTCTTTCTCTTTCTTCCAGCCTGACAAGTTCCGGAGGCTCTTCTTCACAGACAAGAAGCACAAATGCTGAGGGAGACCTGGCATCCAGGCCACACCAGGGATCACTAGATACCCTCAGCTCAGCTGAAGGTGTGATGCAACCAGCCACTGTGGAACCAGGCTCTGGGGTGCAGCCTAGGCACCTGCCTGGAAGGCACGGGAGAGACCTTGCCACCGCCTGCGACTCCTGGATGTGTCCTCAATGCTGTCCATCCACAGAGTGAAGGAACTAAGGCCAGCGAGAGCGGGGACGAACCAAAGGAAGGGTTGGGTGAACACGTAGAGGCCAGGGCTGAGGAACACATAGAGCCCGCCTCATACCTCAGATACTTAGCTAGCATGTGGCAGGCCCCTTGCCAAGACACACTGCCTTCTTCCAACGGCCTAAATGACACCATGCTATTAGTCCTGAGAACAAAACCAGCTCCCTTCCTCATGGTCTTGCCAGGCGATAGGGAGAAGGCCAGGAGCCACATCCTCTGTACCTGCCCCACCCCAGGAGGATTAGAGTAAGAAGCTGGGTCCAGCCAAGGTCCAGCTTAAAAGCCATGCTTTACCCAGCAGCAGGCTGGGCCCCTGGGAACTCCCCCCCCCCCCCCCCCCCCCCCCCGTCTTCCCGGCCAACTCCTCCATCTTTACCCTAGCTTCACTACACAAGCTCCTAGCTTGTGCTGCAGATGAAGAAACTGAGACCCAGAAACTTATTTGAGGACATAGCTGGTGAGGATCTGAACAGAGACCCCTCATTAAGGCAGGCCTGAACTGGGGATGCACTGCTGGGCAACATCTGGAGCCAGTTAGGGGACACTTGATGCCATGCCTATGTGAGCAGGTCACCTCTGCCTGCCCTCTGCCTCCAGCCAGTCCTGAACTTTGAATCAACCTAGATTCCTCCATGGAACCCACCATCAGCCTGGTGGTTTTGCCTCCAGAGAGCTCCTGGGGCTTTTCCCAGTCACCAGCTTTGGAATAGGACACTCAGGCCTCTTGCCCAAGCTGTTCCCTTGACCAAGCTGGCTCTTCCTGGGATCTTTTCCTGATTGTACCACTCTTCCTTGACCATGTGTCCCCACTTCCATAGGGTGAGCAACTGGCCTGCTTTCTTCTCTCTACCCCCGCCTCCACTCGCAGGAGGCAGGAACCAAGACCACAGTCCCCTCTCCACCTGCCTCCATGCAGGCCCTGGGCAGAACTGGATCAGTGCACATTTGTGAGGAAAGTCATTTCTTAGTAGACACTTGGCTAATGCTCTTTTCCCTCTCTAGAAGGGAGAATTTCTAGAAGTCCCTATCTGTTGGGGGGCAGAGGTGGGGCGTGAAAGGTTTAAGAGTAGTGGGATAGCCTGGAGCAAACAGTGGTGAGCACTCTGTTAGGCAGATGTAACTACTACTAGGAAAATGGAAACAATCCTCACCCAACAGCCTGAAACCAAAGTTAGTACTTGACACAGAAGACGACTTCACCGACTGCCCGAAAGGTACCACCGAGCATTCCTAATGCTGACAGACACAGAACGTGCAGGACACAAAAGTGTTTTATTCCTAGGAATTCACAAATCTGAGGTCAGCACACACCAGTGACACCATGTCATTGGGGAGGGACACGGGGGCAGAGCCCTTTGGACCCACTGCTCACACAGCTTCACATTGGGAAAGTAGAGGGCAGGGGAGGCATTGGGGGAGGGTGCAGCCCAGTCTTGGCTTTAGTAAAAGATTGCATAGCTTGTTAAAACCCCAGTCTCTGCTTCTTTTGTTTGTTGTTTCGTTTTGCTTGGTTTTTGCCCTTAGCCCTGGGTACGGGGTGTCTGCCTGGCATATGGATAACCCAGCCCCACCCCTCCTGCTGGCTTTCCCACCTCCCCTCCTAGGAGACACTGCTGGGTGAGAAAAGGACTGGGCAAGGGGGTGGTTGAGAGGGCCCACAGGGGGACCATTGGTCTTGTGGCTGAACCACTGGGGACCCCGGGAAGGGTCCTGCTCTTCACAACCTCATTGCTCTTAAGTTTTTTATTTGTTTTTTTTGTTTTGTTTTGTTTTTTTTTTTGCTGAAAGGGCCACAGGAAATGTCCATGGGTGAGAACCCCAGAGGCTACAGCTCCTTTCCTGAAGTGCTTGGAAACCGTACCTGCACAGACAGCAGGCCAGAAGGTGGACTTCCAGGCCCCTGCAGCCTTGGCAGCATCCTCAGATTCGGATGTGGAAAGTGCTGGGAAGAGAAAGGAGAGAGGGTGTGAGGCTGGGCTGGGCAGAAGGCCCCACAGGGAAAAGCTAACCTCACCCTGGTCATTTCCTTAGAGAAGCTCACAGAAGTAATTACAGGAGGCTCAGAAGGGGCAGGTGTCCAGTTTCCACCCTCCAGAGTCTGGATCCTTCCCACGCACCACGGAAGGCCTTGATCCCTCTCGTGACATGAATAGTCATGTAAGGGCCAGTCATGCATCTGGGGAGAGGGGCTTCGATCTGCTGCTTTGGGCCTGCATATATCACTCCCATGAGACCAGGCAGCCAGCTGTGACCCTAATGTTCTGGCCTATCCAACCCAAGCCCAGGCCCTGGGGTCACAGCACCTGAGAAAATCAGGGGCCTTGGCGATCATGTCCTCAAAGTCAGCGAAGCCCAGCTTGCCATCACCATCCAGGTCAGCTTCCTCAATGACCTTGTCACATACAAGCACTACCTCATCCTCATCCAGCTCTGACTTAGTGAGTCGGGCCAGCGTCAGCTCTAAGTCTTCTTTACAGATGAAATTGTCAGTGTTGAAGTCTGTGTGGTTAGGTGGGGTAAACAGAGATGGTCAAGACAGGGCTGAGTCCCTCCAGGGGCTTCGAGGAGGGAGGTGTCCTGTCCAGTACTGCCCCTTCCTCCCAGCTGACCACACTGATTTCTCCACCAGCCTCCGGAGTCCCCAGAGTATCTCAGACAAGAGGGGGGTCCCTGAAACCAACAGGCTCACACCCAAGGCATATGTTAAACATCCACAGCCAACAAACTAACATTTGGGGGAACCCACAAACCCCCACAAGGAGGGTGCACACAGCCACAGCCCAAACAGTTCCAAATCTGAAGCACTCTAAGAACTTCCCACTGAAGCCAAACAGTCCACACAGTGGACTCCTAAAGCCGAGGAAGCCAGGACCCAGAGAGGCCAAGTGCCTGAGTCCAAGTCAGAGATCCAGTCAGAGATGCAGCAAGGATTCTGACTGGGTCCATTTGACTCTGAGACCCACACTTTCTAAATGGTACCTCATCACCGCTGGTAGGCCTCCAGACATACGTGACTAATTAACACACATGTCATGATATATGCAGTGAGTATGTACAACTTAATCTGTCAATTTTGAAAACAACAACAGAAGTCAAGTCAGGAGATGCAGGATCCCGCGGAGCAGTGGTTCTCAACTTGCAGGCCATGACCCCTTTGAGGGTCACATATCAGATATCCTGCATATCAGATATTTACATTACGATTCATCACAGTAGCGAAATTGCAATTATGAGGTAGCAATGAAATAATATTGTGGTTGGGGGTCACCACAACATAAAGAACTGTATAAAAGGGTCACAGCTTTAGGAAGGTTGAGAACCACTGCCCTAGAGAGAGGCCAGAGCAGGGAAGGCCTTTGTGCACAGAATAAAGGGCAGATTTGGGTCTTCTGGGCAAAAGGTACTACCACTGTCCCCAGAGAGCACACAGCGGTTCTGTGGGCCTGAGTCGTGTGCAGGCTCATCATGATTAGCTCTATTCCCCCTTCTTAGCCTCTCAGCACAGTGGTTCTGTGGGCCTGAGCTGTGTGCAGACTCATCACGATTAGCTCTATCCCCAGAGCACAGCTGCCAGCTCTGTGCACATGGTTTCCCGCGTCTCTGATGCCTTCCCAGCAAACACCCACTTGGCCTACAAGTTTCCAAGCATCACTGTCTAGGCAGAGGGTCCCTCCCACTGAACGCCTGCTGCCCACGCGGCTGTCATGAATGGCAGTGATGAAGACAAGAGCTACTCTGCCTCCTCGTGTACTTAGTGCCTGCACTCTGCAGGTGAAGAGAGTCGGGGAGGACAAGGGCCTCTCTGACGTCACAACCCCGACCAGAGCCGGATGTAGAGCAGAAGCCCTCCAATGTAGCCTGAGCTGTCCACCTCTGCACAGTGGGCATGAAGTGGGGTTTATCTCTGCTCCTGAAGGGCCTGCAGGGGGTTTCATGAAAAAGCCTGATATGTGGCTAGTGGGCTGAATAGAATCCTAGACTAATTTAACAGTAAAAACCGGAGACCTCCATGGGTTCGGCACTTTCTTCTTATAGGAAGACAAGAGTCTTTACCAGGGGCAGCACTGTGGGGTCCAAGACTGAGGGATAATGGGTGAAATTTTAGAAGCTACATATATGGAGGGTGGACAGACAGGGTCTGCTCTCTTACATGCAAACACAATGTGTTGCTCCATGTGTCTAAACCGAAGTCCTTTGACGTAATCACAAAATGAATAGGCAGCCCTTGATGGGCCCACTGCTTTGAGACCCCCCAGCTTCTCAAAGGTGCGGGGAGGTTTGTGGTCTTCTTATCTGGTCCAGTAAAAGTTCAAACCCTCCTTGGGCTTCAGTGATCTGACCTGGTAAGGATTTGACCCAGGCACAGTGGGTGAGCTGTGCGGTTGCCTCCATGTAGCGATGGGAGACTTCTGTGTGACCAGCGCCCTCTAGTGGCCAGTGGGTCAGCAGGCTGGGGAAAGGGGAAGACCCTACCTCTGGCATGGGAGGGGGACTTTTGTGGATTTCCCTCCCCGCCTGGCTCATCATCGTATCCCAGAAGGCCTCCTGTCTGGTCCTCAGATTTAGCTTGGCTTTTTTAGTTCACAATTCAAATCTTCCCAGTGATCTTTCTAGAACACAACTGCCCTTCCCTGCCTGAACCCTGCAGTGTCCTAGTCCTGAGCACAAGGCCCCGACTCCTCACAGCCTAGTTTACCTCTCTAGCCTCTCACTGACCCCTCCCATCACATCCCAAACCTTCCTCATCTTGTCAAGCCTTACTGCCCACTCTGTTGGGGTGTCTGTCCTCTTGTCTCCAGGGGACCAATCTTTCCTGGTCCTCTAGTCCCTATTCCTCACTCTAACGCCCACCCAGGGTGGGAGAGTCTTTCCTTCTCTCTGAAGATGAGTCTCAGGCGTGATTTGTGCCCTTGAGACAGGTGTCCTCAAAGAGCAGCCTTAGTGTACCCAGCAATAAGTGGATGGTCCAATGGCCCATAGGATGTGCCCCTCAGCACTACAGCTCCGCCCTGCTGCCAGGCCCTCCTTACCATAGATCTTGAAGGCATAATTTGCCTTGAGCTCTCGGGGTGCCGACTCACAGAGCACAGAGAACATGTCCACAAAGTCATTGAAGGTGAGGTTCCCCTCGCCATCCTCAGAGAAAGCCTCCACAATCCTCTCCTTGAAGGGATTCTCCTGAAGATAAGCACAGCCATCACTGAAGTAGATGAAGGCAGGGGCCTTGGGCTAGTCTGAAGGTAGCCTGTGGCAACCTGTGTGTGTCAGCCTCTAGAGTGAGGCAATACTCACAGCTACTTAATGGGTTCCTGGAGGAGCTGCCCAGGCAGAGATCAAGGCATTGATCCAGGACCTGACTCAGCAGGCGCGCTCTCATGCTACACAGGGTCCACACATGGGCACAGCAAGCTGAGCAGAGCCTCCATGCCAACCATCCCATTTTTCAGAGGCACCTACACAGGCTCCTTCCTCCACACACTGGGCTGTGTCCCCAGCAAAGAAGACAACCGCTCCAGGAAGTCCTCGGCTCAGGCTAATTCAGGCCAGACAGGTGAGGGATGGAAGTAAGGCCCCAACATGTCAGATAATTGGACCAACGAAAGCAGCAAGAGGTGGTTCGGATGCCTCCAGTCACATAGCCCATTTGTTCTCATTTCCAACACTGTCTCTGTTCCTTCCGGTGACACCAAGTCATCCAGGGCCACATTCCTTCCACCACAGCTGCTCAGCCCAGATCAGCCCCAGAAGCCTAGAAACAAAGTTCCTACAGTGCCTCACACTCTCCATGACACTCAGCCTGGTCCCCCACTCCCTCGAGGACAGGCAGTACTCTCCAGGGTCCAGCCTGTGCTCATCATCTCTCAGGACAGCATTGGGATGCAGGCCTAAGAGGACGCCATGTAGCTCTCTTACCCTGCCTTAAGCCATACATCCCAGGCCTGCCAAGTCCCACAGCCCTGTGGAATTATGCCCAATGCTGCGGGAGTGTCCTTTTTATATCCCATGTGAAGAAATCAAGAAACCTGCAATGTGTAGGTAGGTACATGCTTGAGTACCCACACAATAGAACTGGCTGAGCCTACCCTACATGGCCCAAATCCAAATGAACATTCTAAAAAGACTCCCAGGAAGTTTGAGTCTGAGTTGTGCCACTAGAGATGACCAAGAATCCATGATCAGACAAGGAGGAGAGAGAAAAATTATCTAAAAGAGCAGACCAAGGACTGCCAAGTACAGCCCAGGCTACTCCACATAGGGACATGCAGATGGGCACGGGCCAAGAGCTGGGCAGTGGGCAATCACAAACCCACGGTGCATCTACCAAGCCCTACCCACTTCCATAACTCTTTTATGCAAAGTGTATATTGGGAAACCGAGGCACAGAGAGCTTCAGCGGTAGAGGTCGAGAGTGTCACAATGGGTAGAGTCAGGCTTCAGTCTGGATCCGAGCCTCTACTCCCTGCCTGGGTGTGAGTTCCCATGCTCCAACCCACCAGCAGCAGCCTCTCGCATACCCGGAGCTCCGGCATCTGTATGATGAGGCTCATGGGCACATGGACGATGGGACTCTTCCTGTAGTCCATTGGGACGAGGTTGGGGGCCAGCTCATAGAACCGCGCATGGAGCCTTAGAGAGAAACAGAGGAAAACACTGGAGACTGCCATCCCTGAGCCCCAGCGACCCAGAGCCACCCCATCCAGGCTTGGAAAAACTGTCCACAGCATCCAGGACCAAGTGACCGGCCAATAGGAAGCTGTCGGCTCTGCCCACAGTGGGCATAGCTTCGAGAGGAAGCAGGTCCTGCCAGAATCCCCGTACTGCTGACCCAACTGTGCCCAGGCCCTCCTTGTTTCACACACACATGCAGGAACCACCGCCACTATCCTCTCCTATAGGGGTACTTCCTCCCCGCTCCTCAGCTGGGCAACTATCTCCCACACCGTCTCTCCCCTGCTCTCCCGCTCCCCCACCTGACCTGATTTGGTCTCTCAAGTTTTCTATGTGGTGCTGGCAGGGTGGATCAACAGGTGAAGGTACTTCCTGTCAACATACAACCTGAGCTTGATTCCTGAAAACCACGTGGTGGGAGGAGAGAGCCAGCCCCCACGAGCTGTCCTATGACCTCTACATGACTCTCTCTCTCTCTCTCTCTCTCTCTCTCTCTCTCTCTCTCTCTCTCACACACACACACACACACACACACACACACACACACACACACACACACACACACACACACAACTATTTTCTAAGAATTTTTAATGTTCCAGGTACTGTGCTTGACATAAGTTACCTTAATCTCCTGCTCATCACTGGGCAGGAGACCCACTATGACCTCAGTTTTCAGCTAAGCAAACTGAGGACTGAGGGATTTGTCTGAGGCCACAGAACTAGATCTTCAAGATCCAGGGCTGGAACCTAGGACTGGGAAGTCCAGAACATAATAAACACAACCACTCCTCTGCCTGCCACAACTAGGGGTCTTCCGGAGCTCCAGCCTAGTTCTTGTCCTGAAGGTCGGTGGCTAAGAGTGCTCAGCATCCTTCAGGCCCTCCAGGAGCCCCTATGAATGGATCTTTACAACCTTCCTCCCGCTGGGGCTGGCAGGACCAAGCCTTCCAAGTGAGCCAAGCCATCCTTACTGATGTCTCAGGTCCTGAGCTGCCACCCCACACCCCTGTCTTGTACTCAGGAGGCTGTGCCACCTCAGTAAGCTGCTCATCATCTCTGGAATGTGAGGCGATCCTGATCCCATGTCACTTGGAAGTCCCCCATCATCCTGTCCTCTTTTGTCCTGTGTCCCTTGTCCAGGTCCCTTATATCCCAGAGGTCATCTCTCCATCCAAGACAGGTTCAAACTACACTCATATGAGATCGCATCTGTGATATGTTGGTGCATGGGGCAGATGTAGGGGCACTGGCCAGGGGCAAAGATAGGCAATTTACCCAAGGTGAGGCCCCAGACTGGAGCAGACTGGATCATGTATGATCTCACATCTCCTGGGCTGGGCCTGTCCTTCTACCTCAAAATCAGATCAGACCAGGTTCTCTTAGTGACCTAAAACTTCCAGGTCCTCCCTTAGTAAGTCCCTCAGTGCAGCCATTCCAACGCTCATCTGAGTCCCACCTGACCCCTGGTGTCTAATAGAGCATTTGGCTGCTTCCTCGGTGAACGCAGATAATGACTGAGGCTGCCATCCATCAAGTCCCCTGTCTCCAGACTAGTGCTGTGTGGGTGGGTGGCCTTGTTCACTTTCATTCCCAGACACCCTGAGAAGGAGGTATTAGCCTCCCGCTTTTCAGATGGGAAAACTGAACACCAAATGAGTAAGTGCCTATCAGCACTTATACAGTGAATGAGCAGTGAAGACAAGATTTGAACCCAGGGCTGACCCCCCACCCCCACCCCACCCACACGCATGCACACACACACACACACACACACACACACACACACACACACACACACACACACGTGCTGCACGTCAAGCCACCCTGGTAAACATGGCTCTCCTAGAGCAGAGCACGTCCTGAATAAGCAAACAAAATAAGCACAGTGCCACAAGCTTACTCTCCAGGAACACATCTCCATCAAAGGACCTGAGGTCACAAGGACAGAGCAGAAGGGGGAAAACCCTAAAATCCTATCCTTTGGGTGAGAGGGGGTCAGCAGACACCAGGGTGGCCAAACCAAAGCTGGGACTCTCCACAAGCGGACATTCAGATTTTCTCTGCTATTTCCTGCATTGAGGAATATTGCCCTTCTTTTTATAACAGTCCTTGCGTCAAAATGTATATTTTGCAATTCCTGTGCTTTTTGGAGGAGGCAGGGGGTGACAGGGTTTCACTGCAGAGCCAGGCCTTGCAAACCTCCTGCTTCAGCAGCCTGCAGCCTCCCCATGAGATGGTAGGCCTGTGCCACCATTCTTGGCTAATCTGTTCGCCTTTAACAGATCCATCGTGGTTTTGATGATTACATTTCAGAGTAGACTTTAACATCCACTCCCTCCACCTGTGCTACAGCTGATGCTGGGTGCCTCTGGGAATTTGCTTACGCCCCCAAAGTTGTGGGGATTGTGCAGCAGGAGCTTCAAGCCAGGCTGAGGTTGGAACTGCACCTAAACCATTCACTAGCTAGTGGGGTGACCTTGGGTAACTGGAGTAACCACAGAGAATGATTTGCAGTCAGAAGTAGGAACAGTCTATCATTTTTCCCACTTGTGAAAATTAAATAGGACAGTGTTCATAAAACTGTCTGGTAGGCCAAGGAGACGATCCTTGATACATAGACCACAGCATACCAAGGACCAAGTCAGTAAAATCAGTAAAGGACCCGAGTTCAATCCTTATGTTTTTTTTTTTTTTTTTTTTTTTTTTTTTTTTTTTTTTTGGTTTTTCGAGACAGGGTTTCTCTGTGTAGCTTTGCGCCTTTCCTGGAACTCGCTTTGGAGACCAGGCTGGCCTCGAACTCACAGAGATCCGCCTGGCTCTGCCTCCCGAGTGCTGGGATTAAAGGCGTGCGCCACCACCGCCCGGCTCAATCCTTATGTTTTATGTTTTAAACAAAGGAAAGAAAAAAAACGTCAGGCATGATGACAAAAAAAAAAAAAAAAAAAAAAAATTGGGTTTTGTTTTAAAAAATCTTAACATTTATTTAATTTTTTAAAGATTCATTTATTCTATCTCATGTGTATGAGTGTTTTGCCTGTATTCATGTATGTGCACCTCATATACTTAGGGACAGTTGTGAGCCACCGTGGGGGTACTGGGAACTGAAGTGGGGTCTTCTATCAGAACAGCAAGTGCTCTTAACCTCTGAGGCATTTCTCCATCGCTGGAAATGCACACATTTAATCCCAGTGCTGAAGAGTAGGAGACAGGCAGACCGCTGAGGACCAGGCAGCCAGCCCAGTCCACTTGGTGAGCTCCAGGCCAATGAGAAACTGCCTCAAAACAAAGGTGGATGTGCTTGAAAAACAACACCTGAGGTTGTTTTCTGGCCTCCACATACATGCACACACAGATGCACCACACATACATGTGCACCCATGCAGCCGGGCGGTGATGGCGCACGCCTTTAATCCCAGCACTCAGGAGGCAGGGGCAGGCAGATCTCTGTGAGTTCAAGGCCAGCCTGGTCTACAGATCGAGTTCCAGGAAAGGTGCAAAGCTACCCAGAGAAACCCTGTCTCGAAAAAAATAAATAAATAAATAAAATTAAATTAAATTAAAAAATAAAATAAAATAAAAGCCGGGTGGTGGTGGCACATGCCTTTAATCCCAGCACTCGGGAGGCAGAGGCAGGCAGATCTCTGTGAGTTCGAGGCCAGCCTGGTCTACAGAGCAAGATCCAGGAAAGGCTCCAAAGCTACACAGAGAAACCCTGTCTCAAAAAACCAAAATAAATAAATAAATAAACAAACAAATAAATAAATAAATAAGTAAAAATTGGGGCTGGATAGGTGGCTTGGCAGTTAAGAGCACTTGTTGCTCTTGTAGAGGACCTGCCTGGGTTCAGTTCTCAGCACCCACATTGTGGCTCATAATAACTACCCATGATTCCAGCTCCAGGGATCCAACACCCTCTTCTGATGTCTGTAGGCACCAGGCAGGCATGTGGTACACATATATACGTGCAGGCAAAACACTCAATGCACATGAAATAAATCTTTTAAAAAATTAAAAATAAAAATAAAATAAAAAAGTCAAACAACTAGATGGTGGAAATTTTTTTTTTTTTTTTTTTTGGTTTTTCGAGACAGGGTTTCTCTGTGTAGCTTTGCGCCTTTCCTGGAACTCGCTTTGGAGACCAGGCTGGCCTCGAACTTACAGAGATCCGCCTGGCTCTGCCTCCCGAGTGCTGGGATTAAAGGCGTGCGCCGCCACCACCGCCCGGCGATGGTGGAAATTTTTAAGGAACTCCACAGAGAATTTGAAACACCAAATCACTGTGGGAGGAAAATCATCTAAAAAAAGGAAAAGACAGACAGACAGACCTATATCTCTGTCACCCTTTTCCCCAATAAAGGACACCAAGTTAAAAAAAAAGATTTATACATGTGTCCCATCACAACAGCCAGGACCAGAAATGACAACCGTGCTACTCTAGCTGCGTGAAACCAACCTGAAAGCCACCTGGGTGATCGAGGAAGTTAATGGAGCCCTTCCTACCACTAAGGAGGCTGAAGCTGGAGGAGGATCCCGAGTTCGAGGCCAGCCTGAGCTGTACAAGGTGACCCTGTCTCAAGAACAAAAATCCAACTAACCAACCAAAAACAACAACAAAAACCCAAAACCAAAATAATAATAATAATAAAAGACAGAGAGAGAGAGAGAGAGAGAGAGAGAGAGAGAGAGAAAGGGAAGCGCGTGAGGGATAAGGAGAGGGAGAGGGAGAGGCAAAGCCAAGCCCTCATCCCAGAACCCGAAGGAATGAAACAGTAGTACCTATGAATGTTTGCAACCAGCCAGCCCCACGTAGCAAGATCTGGCTTAACTTCCTGCCTCCTGTCCAGCCCCCCAAAACAGAACAAAAAGAAATAGACATTGGTGCCAGACTCAGACTAGAGTCAAACCCAAGTATTAATGAGACGTAACCTATGATAAACAGCATTTGAAATCATTAGGGGAAAGACAGACCCTTCTGAAAAGTCAGAAACTGATAGCCCACACGAATGCCTGGCTCTCACATGGGGTTTTAAATACATTAAATTTTTAGAAAAGAAAGGATTAAATTAAATTTTCAAATTTATTTGCCACCATTTACAAATTGAAAGATTTGTACACTGTACATCTGTTTGCCGATCCTGCTGGGACCGGGAGCGGCTAGCTCTTCAGAAAGGATCCAGGGCCTGGCCCACTTCCTTTACTCCCGGTGCAGGTTGGCCCCTGCAGGCAGTTAAGTTTCAGACTCCTCATGTGTGATAGAAAAAAATAGTCATTAAAATTGATTACATCAATGTCTAAAAGGTTGAAAAAATAAATAATGAAGCAATCTCTTGGCAGACTCCTCGGGGTGTCACCTGGACAGACTTGTCTTGGATGGAGGAGACAGGGACTCCTGTCCACTCGTTCAGGAACAAAGCGTAACTGAGGACAGGGAAGGGCTAAGCTCTGACCCACAGGAAGCAGGGAGGCTGAAAGGAGTGGGCGGATGGGTGGGGTGGGCTGCCCACTCACCCGGTGCTGGGATGGAAGAGCTGAGCCTAGAGAGAAATGGGATCTACTGGGGTTGTTGGTAGAGGGAGCAGTTGAGCCCGGGATCATGGTTATCTGTGATCCAAATCACTGACAGAGGAACCTCCTGCTCAAGTTTCCTCCCTGCCATCTGGTCAGTATTCAGGGTGCAGCTTACCAAGGAAACAGGCAGCTGGGAGGAGGAGAAGTGGGGGGGCTGCATCAAAATACGGGGAGGGCAGGCCAGTGGAGGCAGGGTCTGGCCGGCCTGGCTCTGCCACTGACCTGCTGTACACAGCTGGGTGGTCTTTGCTCCTCTCTGGGCCTCACTGAGATGTGAGCAGTGGAGAGAGGCTGGCCTGGTTGGGCTGTGGGGGTCAGTGACACGGGCCTCTGCTGGAGGTGACACCCCGAAACCAGCCAGGCAACAGCTGAGACAGGGTGTCCAGCTGCCTGAGAAGTTCCTTCGCCCATGAGGGGACCTGGCGTTTGCTTTTTTCTCTAGTGTGGAGATAAAAAAAACCATGCCGGGCGGTGGTGGCGCACGCCTTTAATCCCAGCACTCGGGAGGCAGAGCCAGGAGGATCTCTATGAGTTCGAGGCCAGCCTGGACTACCAAGTGAGTTCCAGGAAAGGCGCAAAGCTACACAGAGAAACCCTGTCTCGAAAAATCCAAAAAAAAAAAAAAAAAAAAAAAAGCCGGGGTTGTGAGGAGCCAGGAACCTTTGCCCAGCAGCCCTTCATTTGCTAATGAGCCAGAGACACCCCCAAAGGCCTGTCAGACCAGCTCCAACTCTTGGCCTGGTCTTAAGGCATTCTTCCCAAAGACCTTGCTGCTCTCAGTAGGATTAGTACATGGTAGGGGTGAGGAGGGGATGCAGGCCTGTGTCTTTGTCTCTGCATTCTGCCTGCCTCGACCATCCTTCTGTGGCCAGCCCTCCCTTCCCTTACCACACACTCACTGGCGGCTAACAGGCACCATGCCCAGGTGCCAGGAATGGGTAGGGACACCTGGATTCTCCAGGAAAGCTAGTTACTGAGCTTAGGAATCTCCAGAGCTCTGGCTGGCTTTAAGAGCATTGTAAGTGCCGGGTGGCAAGGAACTGGACCAGACTAGAAATACTGTGAGCCTCAGAATACAAGCAGCTCAGACTCTGCATCTACACAGCAGGGGTTAAGGAAGTTGGGAGCACATCTAAATAGAAGATTAATACAGTAAGACTGAAAAGCCCCAGAAACCCTCACTGAGGACACATCACTCTGGATAGGCTAGTCCCAGTGGTCAGATGTCACACCTTTGATTACTGCCCCTTGATAGTGGTACCAGCACCCTAGAAAGTGGGGTTCCACGGGGCCAAACCTCTCTGAGGCCAGAGAACTCCAGTGCTGTGGATATGGGAGGACAGCCCAGGCCTGAGACCAATTTGGGGGGCTCTGACCCCCCCCAGAAGTGAAAATAGGGTATCCTCCACCCACTCAAGTGACAGGACAGAATGGTAGGCTGGCAGAGGGACACTGTCCACACAGAGTGGTCAGGATGGTGACGAAGGACAACAGGCTCTCTGGGGAGGCTGCACCAGGCTGTAGCCCCAGCCTGAGCATCGATCTCCAGGGAAACTGATCCTGAGACTTTGCTGGCTTTTAGTGACACCGGATAGCCTAGGTAGAGGGGGCCAGCAAGGGCTGCAGGTTTCCTAGCATCCTACAATGCCTGCTCACTGGTCTGAGACTGCCAACGCTGCCATCTCTCCTGTTCGGGACCCCCTCCTTAACCCACAAGGAAAGGGGCTCTCCTGGAGACCCCTGGGAAACAGCTCAGGGGTGGTGGGCATGTCTTTGGCTTTTAGACATCCCAGAGTGACAGACATTGAGGCCAGTGGAGTATTAGAGCCCCTAACTTAAAAGATGGAGGGGGAGGGGGGTGTCCCTATGGTAGCAGGCCCCAAAAGAAAAGAAAAAAAAAAGCCAGGGGCCTGGAGTTAGAAGGCCATCTCTCCAGACCCTGGCTTAGTGGCTTGGGCCAAGTTTCAAAGTCTCATGTGTAAAGAAGGTTAGCAGGATTCTCGTGTTACAAGGTCCCAGAGAGGACTGACTGAGACTGTGCCCTAAACCCTTAATCTCGGAGTGCAGAAGGTAGCAGGCACCCCATCCCCAGAAGAAGGATAAGTGGGAGGGAGCAGTGAGACCTTCAGTCCATACTGTAGCCCTGATGTGTGCCTGAAGCCCACCTGAACTCAGGTCTCACATCCTTCCTCAGCTCCAGCTCAGCCAGGCCCCGTGGGGTCTCCAGCCCCACCTCTACCACAGCCCTAGCCCCAGAGACGTAGACAAGAAGCCACACTTACTTGAGGATGTCCTTCTTATTGAAGAAAGTGCAGTCCTGCAGGAGGAAAACACACAGTGGACCTTAGAATCCTTGCAGCTCCAGGGCCCCACCCAACAACCCTGGACCCAAGGCAGAAGAGTGCCTGCTACCCCTCCTCAGGCCTCCCTGGAGGTAACAACCAGCTCTAGCAGGTCCAGAAGATGCCTCCCGAAGCTTGTGGTCCACCCCTCTGCCACCACCAACTGGGCCTAGGATAGCAATCCATAGGTGGGGTAGGGTTCGGTGACACATATCGGGTACTTGGCAAAGGAGAACATGGAGTCACGGGTGGCCACAGTAATTTGAAGGTCGGGGGTTACATTGTGGGAGAGCAGGGAGGTAGATAAGAGACAATTCTAGAGACCCTCAAGAGTGGATCAACAGGATGCCTTGGCATGCCACCATAGGCACTGAGAACAGGGCCTCATGTGGGTAGGCAGTATAAAGTAGATGTCCTGGGTTGCCATGGGCAGTAGTCCTGAGTCTGGAGACTTACCATTCTGGGTATATGATCTGTGGCCTTAGGCTGAAGGAACAAGGGATATCACACTGAGGAGGCATTAGAGAGATGGAGGCCGAGGTGTGAGGGGTAGACCCCAGAAGAGGGGGATGGGAAGGGAGTATCTGGACTCTTTAAGGACCTGTCTGTCTGGATGAGATCCATCCATCCATGGCCTAGAGTCTTACATGATGGTTACTACACCAGGCCTAGGTGAGAGGAAGCGAAAGTGACCCAATGGGACCTAAAATGCCCACCAGTGCAGGGCTTTTTCATGATCTCCTGCTGTCTGGCTCATCTGCCCACTGTTGTAGCACGAAGGAAGAAGGCCTCAGACTCAGCAGAGCCCACGGGGCCTCCTGGGGCCTTATGCTAAGCAGAGCCGCGCTGATGAGGGGGTGAATGGACACAGCCCAGGCATGCCGACAGCCAGGCTGGCTCTGGAAGACCTGGAGCTGCTAGACACCAGGCCGGTTGGATTGCACATTGAGGTGGGCCAAAGAGGATGCCCACAGTATGTGTACGACAGCCAGGGCTTTCCTTGCTGCCTCTGTACAGGCCAAGAGGAAGGTGGGTGGAATTTCCAGGTTCCCATGAAGCCCAGTGAATCTGTCTTTCTATGCCACCTGCTGTCTATGAGGAGACAGACAGACAGACAGACGAAGGACTCCATGCTGCCATGCCCACCTTGGAAACTCAGGGGTTTCCCCTGAAGGGCTCAACTTTGCTTTTAGCAATGGCTCCTCCATAGGAGTCAGCTCAGGCTGGGAAGCAGCAGCCCTGTCCCCACTCAGTGCATACAGAATCACTCTGTCTAGCAGGACTAAGACTCGGGCAGGCTGAGGGCTTATGGGCTGGTCCCTCAGCTATTCTCAGAGGCCAAGAGCAGGCAGCACAGACAGCCTAGCTGAGCCTTCAGGAACTCCCTATCTAGAGGGCTAGGTCTGCCATCTGAAGGGACCAGGGCTCTGCTAACTAACCTGGAAGGGCTGTCAGAAAACTGGAATAGGGGAGGGGGAGTCCTGGCCTCCGTCTCTGCTCCTCCTACACATACCCCGAGTCAGAAAGAAAATATACAGACCCCTCAAGAGTACTGCTGGAAAAGGGTGTGAAAGTTTCCACATGTATCCTGGCCCTCTTAGCACAACTAGATTCACCTACTGGCACTGATCTTTAAGGTATGGTGCCCAAGCAGCAGCCTCCTGGGAATATGGTAGAAATGTAAACACTTGGGCTAGACTCCTGAGTCAAAAACTCTGGGTGGTAACGTGTACTTTAAAAGCCCTCCCAGGGGTGCTGATCCTACTAGCAAGAGAAAATTTTCACCAGAATAGTGCCACCTGGGAGCAGTTTAAAATACCTGGACCTTGCCACCCCTCAGACCAATGAAATGGGAAGTCCCTGGGTCCTCCCAGGCATCAGTGACCTTCAAAGGCACTCAGTCATTCCAAACTGGCCTATAATAATTTCAACTACTTCGAAGGCTAAGGAAGGAAGATCACAAGTTCAAGACCAGCCTGGGGCAACTTTGAGATACTGTTTAAACGTGTTAAAAGTGAAAACACTAGGGGTGGGAGTATACATCAATGGTAGAGTGCCTAGCACATGGAAAGCCTTAGGTTCAATCCCCCCAGGGCTCCCACTTCACCCCCAGTCACTCAGTGATTCTAAAGCAGCCCAGGCTGAGAACCACCTCACAGCCAGCACACAATTACCAGGTACCTTGCACGAGGGACTCTAAATTGCCAATTTCATCTCATCTTCAGCACTACCCTGGAACAGTCATTATCTCCCATTTTACAGATGTGAAAACTGGAGTCTTAGGATTCTGGAAGCACCAAACAGGCCAGGCTTGGATCTTCTAGTTACTAGTAGAAGCCTGGAGGTCATTTCCATTAAGACGTAACTCTGCCTCCAAATGCATGTGCCACCTATTCCCCTCCTCTCCAGCACTTCCAACCCCTTCCCTCTCCGTCTCTACTCAAGAGCTCTGCCTGGCATCTGCTCCCTATGTACCCGGACTGCCTACGGCAGTGGTCAGGAACCAAGCCACTATCTGTCCCATCTGAAGGAGAGGTGGCTCCTGTCTGACTCTGCCAGCCCAGCCTGAGAATGGCCCCACCAATCGCCATTCGGCTGGAGGGCTGGCTCCAGAACGACCTTAGATGATCCCCATGACAGTCCTGTGACATAAGCATATCTGGATTGGTAAGGATTCCCACCATAAAAGTGGGAACCTGGGCCCAGAAGAGAACACCAACTTGTTAACTCCCATAGTGGTAACTGCCCAACTCCAACTCGAATCCAGGACTTCAGAATCCCTGTGTGGAGTTCTTTGTCCCTCCTAGAACCGTATGTTTGTGTTCCTTCCTTCCTTTCTTCCTTCCTTCCTCAAGCCTCTTCTGAGCCTAGACAAGGCTTCACAGGAATTGAGGAGTATAGACAGCAACATTACCCAGTAGGAACCATTCAGTGGCCAGAGGAAGGACTGGAGAGGTATATATGTCATAGGCCCGTTGAGTACTCCCAGGTGACTGGACCAGGATGAGGTGAAGGAATCCTTCCTGAAGATGTGAGGCCTAGACAGACTGTTGGTGAGGAGCTAAGACAACACCACCAGCTTGACTAGAAGCCCTGCAGAGTGCCTGGGGCTTCAAGGAAGAAAAGAGGTTGGAGACCAGCTGAACCCAGACCAGGCTAGGCTGAACCCTGGTCCGACTCCGTTCAGTCATCCCAAGTCACCAGAATTACCTGGGGAGAAGGCAGCTGTACATGTGCGTTTGGAAAGTTCCCTAACGCTGGGCATAGTGTTTATGTTCGCACATCCATCCAGGTCCAATGGATGGCTTCTTAGGGTTCCCTCCAGGGGCCTGGCTAGCACATAGTCAGTCCAACTCTCTGTCCATGATTTTCAGTGAGGCATATGCTGCCTTTGGAAAGAAAGATGAAGGAAGTGGGGGACGACAGAAGGACAGAAAGAAGAGAAGAGGGACAAAAGCAAGACTACACGGACTGGCTGGAGTCAAGGACCCAAGGAGGGGAAGGAAGCTCCAGTTAGACCTCTGAGCCCAGGAGACTTCCGAGAGCAGGCCGGGGTCCAGTTCTTGAGATGGAGGAGGAGATCTCAAGGTAAGATGCAAAGTAGGCTGAGTCATAGGGCTTGTTTTGAATTGAAAACGCAGGCTGAAGGGCAGCAGAGCTGGAGTGGCTAGAGGTGTGCCTTGCCGTAGGTTCTGGGGAGGGCAGTGGGCCCTGTGGAGGGGGGTGAGGAGGACGGGTGTGCCGTGCACGTAAGTGGCCTGGGCAGCAGCTTAAACTTTGGGAATCAGTGGCGTCTGAAGAGCAGAAAGTGGGGCATCGTGCCTGGGAAAGAGGAGACTGTCAGCTGTGAAGGTCCAGGAAACCCAGGGTTACTTGGAAGAGGGAATGTAACTCCAGTCCCCCACTCAGCCCTGCTGGGCCATGCTAGGGAGCCAGAGGGAAGGAGATGTGAGGCTCTCGGGTTTCATGGCTCTCATTTCTCTGGCAGGGTCTAGCTGAGTCCTGGCAAAGGATCAGAACTCAACACTGGACTGGGTCTGACTAGTAACTCAATGCCATGCTGGTCTGAGTGGGGATGCAGGCTCCCCACCGTCACCAGGCCACTCTTCTCCTCTGGGTTTGGGGTGCTTGCCTGCCATCTACCTCCACCCAGGATGCCTCTTAGAACTTGCTGGGCAAAAATCTTCATTTCCCAAGGCCCTGTGCAAGCTCTGCACTGTTTCTGAACCTTCCAGTCAAAGCAAGAGCTGTCTTCCTATTGCCCTGCCCTGTCCTGTCCACTAGGACTCTTCTTAAGCACATATTCCATCACTTGGGTCACACTGGAGGTAAGGTCTTCTTGCTAATTGAATATTCATGAAGGTTACAGACATCTAAGGTAGGAATACCGGTGAGGAAACAGTCCTGCCCAATCTGTTTAGAGGAGACAGAGAAGAAACTTCACAGCAGGGCCTTGAAAGATGGGAGGCACTACTTAGAGACGTGAGAAAAGAATCCCATGCCCAGGAAACTCCCTGAACCTGGCCAGTGTGGAAACCGACTGAGGCAGATGGAGTGCAGGGTTCAGGATGTAGACTCCTGGGGAGACTACAGCCGCCTGTCCTGTCGAGGTGAGCTAGGCAGCTGGGCAGGACTCTGGGCCAGCCAGGGAATAAACTTTCCTCCTGTACCAAAAGAAAAAATGTTCCCATGGCTGGGAGTTTGGGGATCACTGACATGAATAGCTAGCTAGCTCTGAAACTGGAAGAATCTGGGGCGAGAGTGGCTACTGGAACCACAAAGTAAGTTGAGAGATGCAGCTATGTAGATTCCTTCCTCCAGTTATTTTAATGCTAGAGCCACAGAGAAACCCCAACAGATAAACAAAACCCCAACCTGCAACTGCATTTGGGGCCTCTTGTCCTCTCCCTACTCCAAGACCTTTCTGGATGGGGGTCATGCCCAGTGGGCTGGGAGGAATCGCTGGGGTCCAGCCTGAGAGGGCAGGAAAAAAGGTTAACGAGGGAGAGAAGGGGGTGGGTGAGGCGCATCTGACAGACTCCTCTAATTGGAATGCTCTTATTCCCCGGCCTGGGAAACTGAGGCTCATCGAGGGGAAGTCATCCACCCAGGGTGACGCTGCGCGCTGAAGGCGGCGGCACGGTTTGAACCTCAGTGACTCCGCTTTCCAAGCGAGGCCTCGGAAGAGGACAGAGGGGAGGACTACGGGGGCCGCGGCGCGCCGGGTTCACCTGGTAGTTGTCCAGCTGCTCTTCAGTGAAGATGGTCTGCTTGTTCCCCATGGTGGCCGCGGCGTTATCGGTGGCCGCGGCGTCGTCTCTCGCCCTTTGGAGCGTCGCTTCCCATCGGCGGCTTCTGGAGCCCCGAGCCCGGCGCCCGCGGCCCTTGCCAGCCTGGCGGCCGGCAGCGTCGCCAGCCTAGCCTGGCCCGCTCGGCTCGGTCCCGCAATTCAGTGGGAGGGACGCAGAGGACGGGGCGAAGGCGGGGCCTGGGCGGGCCTGGGGCAGGGGGCGGGGCGAAGGCTAGGGCGGGGCCAGAGGCGGGCCTGGGATGGGGCGGGGCCAGAGGCGAGTCTGGGGCGGAGGCGCGCCTGGGGGAGAAGGAGGCGGAGCCTTAGACCAGTTTAGACTGAGCAGGCAGGTGACTTCTCCCAGGGGACAGAAGCCTTCTCAGTCTATGTTTCTGCAGCGCACTGGGATGGCCAAGCGGTGGCCTCGGAAGGCTGCCTGACTCCTGGCCGGCCACTATCTGTGCCTCCTGTCACACCCAGCACTTCTGACCCGCAGGGTCGTGCCTGAGGACTGAGTGAGATAGAAGTGACACAATCCTGGAGCCTCTGATGGGGTGTGTGGTCCTAGGTTGAGAATGAGAATATTATTGAGCTTGGCGAGGTCACAACCTACCTCCCAAGTCAGGTCCGTCTTCAATATTAAAAATTAAAAGACGGACGGTGGCGCATGCCTTTAATCCCAGCACTCGGGAGGCAGAGCCAGGCGGATCTCTGTGAGTTCGAGGCCAGCCTGGACTACCAAGTGAGTCCCAGGAAAGGCGCAAAGCTACACAGAGAAACCCTGTCTCGAAAAACAAAAACAAAAACAAAAACAGCCGGGCGGTGGTGGCGCACGCCTTTAATCCCAGCACTCGGGAGGCAGAGCCAGGCGGATCTCTGTGAGTTCGAGGCCAGCCTGGACTACCAAGTGAGTTCCAGGACAGGCGCAAAGCTACACAGAGAAACCCTGTCTCGAAAAACCAAAAAAAAAGAAAAAGAAAAAAAAAAAAACAAAAACAAAAAAAATTAAAAGAACCAAATTAAAAGTTGAAAGCAGAAAAAGGAAATTTTCAATGTGGCCGCATTGGGAAGAGGGACTAAGAGGTCCAGAGAACCCAAGTCTGCCTTTGGAATCCTAAACTGAGATTAAAAAATTAAATAGAGGGCCAAGGATATGCACATCTAAGCAGTCCTGGTCAAGGTATGGTCCTGCCCACCCCTGACCCAACATTGTATTAAATCTCTTTCCGGAAGTCAGAGGCAGGTGGATTTCTGTGAGTTCAAGTCCAGCGTGGTCTACATAGTGAGTTCTAAGCTAGCTAGGTCTATACAATAAGACATTAATTCAAAAAACCAAAAATGGAAAAAGAAAAAAAGTATCCCTTTCCAGGAGACAAGTTCCCCCTCTTGCTGGTACATTTTCCTTCTCCCAGGATGAGATTTCTGTGGAAATTCCCATTTCTTTGGGGTCCTTTGTTTCAACAGTCTGATAGATACAAGTGTCTCTTTAGAATGTCTTCCTTTCTGCAGACTGGTTACAGGAGTATCTGAATCAGGCCTTGCTTCTGCCACGTGGGCTGGCCTTGGACAAGCCCTTCTTTGCCAACCCAGTTCGTTGCAGAGGAGCAGGTCTGAGCTCTGAAATTCTCTTGGAAGGTGGGAAATGTAGCTGAGTTGTAGAGTGCTTGCAAAACATTCAGGAGACCTTGGGTTCCATCCCTAGCAGGAAAAAGAGGGAAGTGTGGCACGGGTGACCAGGGGTTGGGGAGGGTAGTGTAGAGACTGCAAGCCTGGAGAGCATCTGGCCTTTGACCCAGCTGTGTAAGGCTTCTCAGGCCCTCTGGGTTCCTCAGGGAGGAGGACAGAGTTTGCTTGGCTTTCTTTGCTACTTGAGAAAATTCAGAGAACTTACTATATCCAGAGAAGTGTGACAAAGACCATGACGTTTCCTTGGCATTTTAATTAAATGCATTGTAAGAAAAATAGAATCCTTTTAGTGTCCCAGCCTGAGCCTGAACACTAATTTGACATAAAAGAGATTTAGGACAGACATACTATTGACTGTACAGCCAACTGGACATGGGACCCCTCAAAAAGAAACAAAGAAACAAAGCTCAGAGCCAGGTGGTACACACCTCTAATCCCAGCACTCAGGAGGCAGAGGCAGGTGGATCTCTGAGTTCAAGGCCAGTCTGATCTACAGAGTTAGTTCCAGGAGCTAAAAAAAAAAAAAAAAAAAAAACACCAAATAAGCAAATAAATAAGAAAAAAAGAAAAAGAAGCAAAGGCCCAAGGTGCAGCAGGCCTGTAATCCCAGCTACTCAGAAGCTGAGGCAGGAGGATTACAAATTCAAAGCCAACTTGGAATACACTGAGTTCAAGGCCAACTTGAACAATTTAGGAAGACCCTGTCTCAAATTTTAAAAAGAGAACTGAGGTGTCATTTGGGGATCATGTGAGTAATCCCAGTACTAAAGAGACAGAGGCAGGAGGATTGCCATAAGTTCAAAGATAGCCTGGTCTACATAGTGAGTTACAGGAGTACATACTGCAATGATGTCTGAAAAAAATAAATAAAAGAATATCAACCGAACAACAACAAAAAGAAAGAAAGAAAGAGAAGAAAAGAGGAAGGCTATAGCTCGGGTAGAGTACTTACCTAGCACATACAAAGCTATTCAATCCTATTGCTACAAGTGGAATAAACACAACTTCTCATTCAGAGCATCCTTGTCATTTAAAATCTAGGCTGCTTACATTTGTTTTGAACGAATAAGCATTATTGCGTACATGAGATACTTTCGTGCATCAGGTATCCAATTCACTTATGGCCATTAACACTGTCTCCTAATGTCTAAGAGATCTAAAGCTTGCCTTTTTAGGAAAACAATCAAGCTGTTATCCTCCAAACAGAAATTCAGTAAAGACAGTCCTTTCAAGCTTATACTGGGGTGCTCCTTAAACAAAGATAATTTGGTGTGCCTAAACACTGGACACTCGAAGCGATGCCACTCTGATAATTAAAAGAATTGCCACTTAGAATTAGTCACTTAAGAGAGTAAATCAGTATACATTAAAATAGGGGGTTTTGGGGCCTGGAAAGAGAGCTCAGCAGTTAAAGAGTATTAGTTGTTCTTACAGACCAAAGCAAAAAGGAAGACAGAAGACAGCCACTATTTCCGCCCTTGCTGTCTAAGGTAAACTAAGACCCAAGGGCTTACAGGACTCCTCTAAAAGGACCTTGTATTTCTGGTAAGTCATTTCTACTCTTAGAGAGGCAACAGAGACTCCAGAAATTGGGCTCTGGCCAGTGCATTCTGCAAAGAAGAGGGCCATAGCTAAATAAAGACAGGGGTACTCATGAGGACAAGAGATGACAGTGTCTCAAGCCCTACCCATCTATTGGGTATTATTATTATTGGTAAATTATTTCATTTTTAACAGTGTATGAAATGTGCCTTCCTCTTAGCCCCTACCTTGTCATTAGATGAAAAAGCCACCAGGAACAAGATAATGCCAGGATGTCTCCAGAGACTAGCTGCCCAATGACCTGTTTCTAACATGGGAAAATCCTCACCATCCATGAGGAGAGATAATAATAATAATAATAATAATAATAATAATAATAATAATAATACAGAGAGACTGCTTCGTGGTTAAAAGTGATTGCTACTCTTGCAGAGGACCCAGGTTTAACTCCTGGTATCTACATGGAGGCTCACAACCATCTATAACTCCAGTTCCTGGGAAGCCAATACCCTCTTCTGACTTCTACAGGAATTTACATGCATGTGGTATACAGATATACATGCAGAGCAAACACTTATACACATAAAATTAAGTAAATAAATAAATAAATAAATATTTGAAAATAACCATCCTTAGCAAAGCATGGTAGCACATGTCTTTTTTGTTTTGTTTTGTTTTGTATTTTCGAAACAGGGTTTCTCTGTATAACAGTCCTGGCTGTCCTGGAACTTGCTTTGTAGACCAAGCTGGCCTCGAACTCACTGAGATCCACCTGCCCCTGGCTCCCAAGTGCTGGGATTAAAGGCGTCCGCCACCACCGCCCTGTGGTGTATGTGTCTCTAATTCTAGTACTTTGGAAGATAAGGCAGGAAGATTGCTATGATTTGAGCCATCCAGGGCTACATAGCAGGACCTTGTTCTAGGTGGTGGTGGTCCACACCTTTAATCCCAGCTCTTGGGAGGCAGAGGTAGGCAGATCTCTAAATGCAAGACCAGCCATGATCTACAGATTGAATTCCAGGACAGCCAGAGCTACACAGAGAAACTCTGTCTTGAAAAACCACAATCAGGGCCAAGGAGATGGCTTAGAGGTTAAGAGCACTGGCTGCTCTTCCAGAGGTTCTGAGTTCAATTCCCAGCATCCACATGGTGGCTCACAACCATCTGTAATGAGATCTGGTGCCCTCTTCTGGCCTGCAGGCATACTTGCAGGCAGAATATTGTATACATAATAAATAAATAAATAAATCTTTAAAAAAAGAAAAACCACAATCAATCAATAATAAATAAATAAATAGACTGTATATGTAGGCAGAAGTTTCTGTCCTGCCAGCAATTCCCAAATACCCAGAAGCCACTTCCCAAATTATCACACAGAGGCTTATATTAATAATAAATGCTCAGCCGGTAGCTCAGGCTTATTACTAATTGGAACTTATACTTAAATTAACCCATAATTCTTACCTATGTTTAGCAACATGACTTGGTACCTTTTCTCAGTACTACATTCTCATCTTGCTTTCTCTGCATCTGATTGGCGATTCCTGACTCCACCCTTCTCCTTCCCAGCATTCTCAGTTTGGCTTTCCCACCTAACTTCCTGCCCAGCTACCAGCCTGTCAGCATTTTATTACCAATGAGAATAATACATATTCATTGTGTAGAAAAGGATTATTCCACAGCAATATATATGTTGTGGGATATTTTAATTGCACCCTGACACTTCTGAGACTGCCAATAAAGTTTAATTTTGAATCAGGAGATGAAGTTAGCTATTGGCTGACCAAAATTAGCCATAGAGGTTTTGGAGGACCCAGGATACATCTAGAGAGACACAGGAAGTAGTAGGGAGTGGCTTAGAAAGATTTGAGGACCTTTTTGGATCAAGGAAGGTGAAAGAGAGGTCACTGGTCACTACTCTCTGATCAATCAGGTTTTTATCCTGATAGACTCC